GAAGTACCACTGTTTTCAAGTTGCATAATTATACATAAAACTCTCAGTAAAAATCAAAAGCTTACAATCAGGTTTCATAATTATTTGAGGCCAAATCACAGGTAATATTTTGGATTTAGTTGGGAACATGGAAAATAAAAATCTGAAATGACAGAAGAATTTTCTTTAGAATTGTGGAAGATACAGATAACATCTGAGCTTGAGGATGAGAGCAATAAGGAAAGGTAGGGTTTGCTATTATATTATCTCATTTAGGGCCTAGTTTTGTCAGTAGAAAAAGGCCTGGAGCTGAACATACCTGTAGGGGTGAAGAAGAAAAGCTCTCTCCCCAGCTTCTTAAGGGAAACTTTTTCTTTTTTAAGTTGATAATTTCTAGCATGAATCCCAAAACGGTGTGCAGGGGCCTCATGCCTTGGAGATGTTAAACGGAAACTCTTAATTCATTACTCATGATGCATTTGTATAAGGTAAGAGGAGGGAGATAGAATGGAAACTTGGTCCCTGAAGGAATATGATTCCACAGCAATAGACCAGAAGTATTCTGAGGTTGAAGATGATTACAATTTTCAGAGCATGATGCCTCTTAGAGTTTGTGTTTGGGTCCTTTGCCAAGGCTCCGCCAGGCTACATGCTGCCTAGCTGAGTGGACCAGATCCTCTGTCCTTACCACTTGCATGAGGTTGATCTCAACAGTGGAAAGGGTGCATTCCACTTCTTCAGCTTATTACTATACACCAATAAAAAAAAAAAACCAGAAGACATTACAAATGAATCAGACCTGGAGAAAGGAAGGCTTTCCTACCCTTAGAAAATAAACTGAGCACATTAAAAACTTTTTTGAGTTCTGTAGGTCATCACATAAAAGTCAGCCAAGATTGTAAGGCAAAAGAGGTCATGCAAATATCTTAGGCCCCAATTGACATAAAACAGTCAGTTTGGAAAAGTGAATAAATATAAAAATGTTCCACATCACTAGTAGTTAAATAAATGCAAAGTAAAAAGTCATTGATTCCATATACCATTATAGTGTTATTTATTAAATTAACATGCTTCATTATTTATTAAATTTGCAGTCTTCTCTCCCAAACCCACCCCAGTCTTGCATGACAAGGTTCTATAAAAAGGATACTCTCAATCTTAGTGAAGTACAATTCTTTTGAAAAGCAATTATTTTAGAAATATGTTTCAAAATAATCATACCCTCCTGTCCAGTAATTGAACTGCTGAGAGTATCCTAACGTAATAATGTTAAATATGGACAAAAGGTATTGATTGTAGCATCATTTGTATAAGGGAGGAAAGACCTAAACTCTAGTATATGAACTCAAATATTATTGTATCATTAAGTAACATTTAATCGTAAATTATCATTAATTCTGGGTATAACTTAAAGATTATTTTTAATGTAAACAAAATGCTAATGTGCTTATAATTTTATAATTAAAAAAATTTAAAGAACAACAACCAGTAGCATTGTGAAAGATGTATGGGAAGGAACTGAAAACTAGGAAGACCAGTTAAAAGGTTATCTTAATATTCCACATGATAGATGATGAAGTTCTGGATGGTGGTAATGACAATGAAGCAGAGAGAAAAATTTATGAGACATGTCAATATATTTTTTAAAGACTTAGTGACTGACTAATGGTTAAAGATATCGCAAATGTTTATATTTAAGTGATGGAAATACAGCAATACTAAGGTGGAAGCAATTTGTAGTAGGGTCAGTTTTGATGGGCCCTCTGCTTATGTGTGAAATTGGGGAGTTTGGAGCCCTGAGGGTAGCTGAAAGAGCTGGAAGAAGATCCCATTAAGAAGGGGAGATCTTAGCACCCACATCTTCATTAGACCAACCTCTGGTTGAAATCAAAGCCTTCTAGAAGCTGAGTGATTAACTTATCGTTAGTCAATGTTGAAAGCATTTAAATGATGAAGAGTGCAAGGTGATTAACTGAATAAAATAATGTAATTGCTGTTTAACATGGCAATGCCTGCAAAGCTCTCTCAGAATTTGCTTGTAGTACCAAAAATATAAAAGTGTGTAAGTGGTGTGGTTTTTTTTTTAACCAAATGATTTATTATTAGGCTTTAAACAGGATGTTCAGATAACCAAGATTACCCCAACTATAATCTCTATCATCTTAACTCCCTTCTGATTTGGTGCATCATTATACCACTTACCATTTTCTCTTGGGTGTTATATTTATTCATGGTTCCTTTTCTGTGGTTACATATCACTGAGTGCGTGTAGCTCAGTGCTTTGTACATGGTGTTGGCACAGACCATGGGTATTAACAGTTTTTTAATTTAATTGAACAGCTCTGCTGTTTAAAATAGCATCTGTAAGGCTTCAGCTATGGGAGAAATCTCATTATTGCTTTTGATTTCCTCACATTGCCTAGTGACGCATTCGGCTTCTGCAGACAGTGAGCAACAACTTCTATGTTAATAATGTTGGACTTAACACAGCAGGTCAAGAACTTTGTTTTAATATCTAAATCATGTAATCAAATCATTTAATCAATCAAATTGATTTTTGCATTACTTAAAATGGAACTGTTTTTGCAAACAATGAAGTTGTTTATCAGTTCTTAGTATGTTAATGCTTTTATTTATAAATTTAGGAAAATGGAAATGTTAATATAAAGCAGAAAGTTCTGTCTTATTGGAGATGTGGGAAAACAACAGTTGAGCAATTATTTGATTTTTTTGTTGTTACTCTTAACAAATTAAAACCTAAAATATTTTCAGATCCCAATCCATTTTCCAAAAACATATCAGACATATGTAAGGAGCAGTTGGCACTAGCAGTGTCATTTTAATGGTTTTTTCCCCTGTATTTTACAGATTTAAAAAGTGATGGTATTAAACCTCTTTTTTAAATTAATTTTCACCTTGTGCAAAATAGCCTAACAGGTCACTTGTTTTAATCAGCTTTGATATTGCAGGCTATATTTGTCACATGGACTCAGAAGTCCTATACTTTTACAGTTGGTTAGGTAAAAACAAAAGAATGGTACTTTTTCTTTTTTACCTTCTGAGGTCTCTGGGGCTGTACTTTGGCTCAGCGTTGCCAGGCACCTGCCATTTGCATCTTCCTCTGTTAATTGTGTGGCAGGTTCATACTGCAGGATCGAATCCAAATCATGGAAGAACTTCATAGTTTTAGAGCTGTCTCCAGAGTTGTGAGCATATTTAACTGTTCTGTATTCATATTTGAGATTTTTGTACTTTGCCCGGCACTGTTTCCAATCTCTGTATACTCCTAGTGCTTGCAGCCTTTTAGCAATGTAAATAAATATTCCTTTATTTCTTAGTGTTCCATAAAGTTGTTTTCGTATATTTTTTTCTGCCCAGACACTTAGCAAAGCTTTAACCTCTTCCTCAGTCCAGTGCTTTCCTGCTCCACTCTCCATGTTGAAAGTGACCTGGAAATGATTCACTATTTCTAGCCAAGGTTTTGTTTCCTAGGAAACCAGATGGCTTGTCAGTAAGCTCTAAAGAGCTGAAAGGATCTAGTTTAACTGGTTCAAGCTTCCTGAGGGGAGTAACTTGAGAAACTGCCAAATAAGCAGGCTTTGTGATTAAAGAAGCCTGGTCCTGAATAATTTCTAACATTATTCATTTCAGCTTTAAGGAAAAATTACCCTTGAGACAAAAGGGAAAGAAAACTATTTTTAAAAAATTTATTATGTAATTTACTCTGGTTTATTAATGATTGTTTATTTTAAAAATTGTTTTGGAAATGGTTGGCAGAGGTTCTTTCTGCCCTAAATTTTAGGCTAGCATTAATTTTTTTCCTCTCTATGACTCTTAGTCTTTTAGCATCATTAACTTAAAGACTATACCGTATCATTTCACTAAAGAAATCCTAAGTCACAAATTATTCAGTCTCATAGGGTATATAATATTATGCATATCTATTTTCAGCATAGTATTTAACACACTGATAATTTAATAAAATAATTTAAATTTGAATTTTTTAGATTTTTTTTACTGTGCAAGTTCATTTAATGTTGTCTTTTTTTCTTGTTAGTTATTAAAATCCCTAAACAATTACAATATGTAATTTTGAAAAAGATCCCTTTAACCAAATAAATCAATGTATTGTTCATGTATGCATACGTATATGGTAGAGATTTTCTTTTTATTTCTATCCTGATGTATAGTCTCTGGAACACAGTTTTGTTAAACCTCCAGTATTTGTTGTACTTGTTCAGAACCATTAAAAATTGCTAAGCAATTAGAACCTTTATTATATCATTCAAGTATGTACTCCACAGTGGTACAGATCCTTTAAATCTTACCATGTGTTATACTACCTCTAGCCTAGGATATGAGATACAGAATCCCTGATCAACTTAGGGTTTTTAGAAGCAGCATTTTTTTCCCCCTGATGACAAAAGTCATAATGGTTGGAGAAAACTTGGAAACTTCAGAAAAACAAAACAATAAAATAAAAATTAATAAATTTTGTTCATAATTCTACCCATGGCTAAGCATTTTACCTATTTTATTTGGAGATTTTTGTTTTTATCTACATACTCATCTACATACTCGACCTTATTTAGAGGTCACATAGTACAGAGGCTAGAAGCACAAATTCTGGAGTCAGATTATCTATCTGTGTTCTAATATTTGCTGTGCCACTGTGTGACATTGGGCAAGTTGTTTAATTTCTGTTGCTTTAGTATTCTCATCTGTAAAATGGGAATGGTAATCATAGTACCTACTTCACAGGATTGTTGTGGAAGCCTAATAAATTAGATCATTCGTGTAAATGCTTAGGACGGTGCCTGGCATATTAGCTAGAACTCAGACAATTTCATCCGCTGCTGTTATTATTGTCTTGTCATGAGTGGGAATGGTACTGGTACTAGTAGCATTTGATGTGTAGTCAGACTGAATTAATGGATTCTTTTGAGAAAGTATGTTTCATTAAATTTTCATTAACTTTATCAATAGGGTAAGTTTAAGTCAATACCTTTTTATATTTTCAGGGGTCAGGAGAGTGCTGGTATTGTCACCAGTGATGGGAATCCAGTACCAACATTCAGAACACACAAGGTATATTTGAACATAAAAAAAGAGTTGATCATAAAGATAACGATAGCCAGATGATAACTAGTATATGGGGTGGGGAAAGGAAATTTGAATAAATAATTTGCATTTAGAAGTAATACTCTTTGGATCAACTGTTTCTATTTGTCAAATTAGGATGCATTTCTTTCCCAGTGATGGTTGCTAGACTGACTCAAAAAGATCATTTATTTAAATACTTTAACATGCTTTAACTTTTTGATATACAAATAATTTAGTTTATTATATTTGACAAATTTTTTGCTTAATGCATCTGTTCTCCAGTGTTTTGACGAAAAGTATTGCATAAAACGAGCACTTCAACACTGTGAATATATTCAATGCCACTGAATTGTTTTCTTTGAAATGGATAATTTATTGTTATGCGAATTTTGCCTCAAATTTTTAAAATACTTTACAGTTCTTATAGTTATGTTAGTTTTTTGTTTTGTTTTTTTGTTTTTTGTTTTTACAATTAGAATTCTGAAGCACAGAGAAATTAAGTGAACTGCATTGTTTAATTTAGAATTATCTGAGCAGAAGCTTATAAAAGCCTCTACTCAGTAGCCCCAGTAATCTGTTTTTTTCTAAGATGAGCTTTCACTTTGACTTTGCAAGGGAATGGGTCTTATAAATCATGTCTTTACTGAAGACAATTTGAAGAAATTATATACTTCAAATCTTGGAATTGGACACACGAGGTATGCCACTACAGGAAACTGTGAATTAGAAAACTGTCAGCCCTTTGTTGTTGAAACACTTCATGGGAAAATAGCTGTGGCACATAATGGCGAATTGGTCAATGCTACTCGATTAAGGAAAAAGGTAAGTTTTTTTTAACTCTTTTTATGTTTGGGATAAATTAATGAAAAGAAATTATTGAGAATCTTGATAAAGGATATTTTCAAATTGTTGCCACCCATTACCTAACTGCAAAGATCAATCAGAATTACTTGAAGTACTTGTTATAATTTCAGATTCTAAAATATCTTTCCCATGGTGTGGGGGGTGCTGAGTCTTCATTTAACTATGCTCCCGAGGTGACTCTGATGCACTGCTTTAGAGTAGAGATTTGGAAAAATTGATTTATGGCTGTTGTTACAACCGCAGGTAATCAAGGTTTATGGACTCTTGGTATCATTTTAACTTTGTCCTTATGTTAAAAACAAGAAGAAAATGGAATGTAAACTTTTAGATGACAAATATAATAAAAAGGTATTCGGAAACAATTATAGGAAACAGCCTGAGACAAGGGCAAAGACAGTCATATTCTCTTTGTTCATAGCATGTTTTTTGGTACTTTCTGTATCAGTGGTGCCTGTGCCTTCATTCATCATTTCATCTTCCCTTTTTTTAAAACTACTTGGTATCTTTATATTTCTTAATTATCTATTCTTGCCATTCATTAATTGATGCCAAGTTTTTTCAGTTCATTAAATTCCAGTAATCTTGATTTGATAACCTCAGAAATAAAAACCTCACATGGTATTTAATAATAGAATAGTTTCTCTCTCTCTCTCTCTCTCTCTCTCTCTCTCTCTCTCTCTCTCTCTCTCTTACTCATTTTCTCCTTAGCATTCTAGAACCAGGCATTTCACATGGGATAAATAATTACAGAAGTCAAACAATGGTGAATTGGTGGGTGGAAAATATCTAGAACCTACGCTTCTATACTATTTGTCCTTTTATTTTCAATTCTAACTTTAGTTATTTTCCAGAGATTTGTCCTTCCTGCCCTCTTCTTAGGCTCTGTCATTCTGAATGACAATGATATACTTTTCTGTCCCTGAATAAAAAATTTTTTATTCAGAATCAGAAAAATATAAATACAAAATAAAAATTAATAAAACTCACACTTGAGATAACTACTAAAACAATACATAGGTCATTATTTCTAGATACAACCCCTCGCCCAGATGCTAGACTTTACCACTATGCGTTCAGTCACCTGCTGAAAATGTTCTGCAGTGTCTGTTTGAACTCAGCCTCTGCCTATCAGTGGTGATGCCCTTTGTCCTGGTCAGGCTTGCTCAGACCCTCATAGTCATCACAATGCACTCAACTCATTTTTATTACATCTACACTTAATCATTCAATACAATTGATTCCTTTCTTTTGTTCTATCAGCGATAATCAATGAACCAACAAACCTGGTTTGAGAGCCCCCACTATAGTGTGCCACTCTCATGGGAATGTGTCCTATTTGTCAGGAGTGTCAAGGGTTGAAAAAGGGTTGAAAAAGGGTTGAACCACAATCTCAATTCTTATGTCTTCTGAGCCCTACCTCCCGCATTGCAAGTCTATATTCCTTCAAACTCAGTTTTCAAAAGCTTTTCTATACACTTCCTAAAGCCCTTTTTTTCCTGCTTGAAAACCTTCAGAGACTTCCCATTGCTTTCAGCAGCCATTCTCCAAAATTATATACAGATACCATTAGTAGGATGAAAGATTTTCATAACTGATCATCCACGCAATGCCTGATCTCTTCCTATTATGATGGGCTATTGGGTGAGGGGTGAGGTGGAGCTTTGTCTCTAACGATTACACTTTTCTGACTTCTAAATAGCTTCTGCGTCATGGTATTGGTCTGTCAACAAGTTCTGATAGTGAAATGATTACCCAGTTACTGGCATATACCCCTCCTCAGGAACAAGATGACACCCCAGATTGGGTAGCAAGGTAATTGTAAGTTTAAGCTTGCAGCTTTGATAATGAGAACTTTGCCTAGCGTGTGTTTATAAATGAAATTATTCATTCAATTATTTAATTCATTCCAGGATTAAAAACTTAATGAAGGAAGCACCCACAGCATATTCCCTACTTATAATGCACAGAGATGTTATTTATGCAGTACGAGATCCTTATGGAAATCGTCCTCTATGCATTGGTCGTCTTATTCCTGTATCTGATATAAATGATAAAGGTAATGAACTTCAAAAGGAATATAATTTCATAATGCTTTTCCAGGTCATTGTTCTATTGCCTGAAAGCATTAGGTATACAAAACTTATGAGTGAGAAAGGGGCTAGGTAGAAAAGAAAAAAGTGATAGTTTTTAAAGTACATTTTCTTGAGCATTTCTGAAGATCAGCCCCTTTTAATATATTTAATGGACATTCCTATTTTTTGTTATCTGAATTGCCTATTCATAGCCTTTGCCCAGCTTTTTATTTGTGTAGTATGATTTCAGTGATGTTCTTTTTGACTTATCAGATGTCTTATTTGAGCTAGGAAATCATAATGTTTGGAGGAATCTAGGGATCATTAATTATATCTTTGGCTCAAATCAAATGAGGATCCATGTGCTCTTAAAGTCATAGAAAAGAATATTCCGTGAGCTTTTTTTATTTATCTATTTGGTGTTTAATTTTTGTCTTGAAATAGAAATGTTTTAAAATTTTTTGAATCCATTTACAGAGAAAAAATCTTTGGAAACAGAAGGATGGGTGGTATCTTCAGAATCTTGTAGCTTTTTATCTATTGGCGCAAGGTATATTTATATATTATATATTCTCTCTCTCTCTCTCTCTCTCTCTCTCTCTCTCTCTCTCTCTCTCTCTCTCTCTCTTATACTCATTTTCTCCTTAGCATTCTAGAACCAGGCATTTCACATGGGATAAATAATTACAGAAGTCAAACAATGGTGAATTGGTGGGTGGAAAATATCTAGAACCTACGCTTCTATACTATTTGTCCTTTTTTTCAATTCTCTCTCTCTCTCTCTCTCTCTCTCTCTCTCTTACTCATTTTCTCCTTAGCATTCTAGAACCAGGCATTTCACATGGGATAAATAATTACAGAAGTCAAACAATGGTGAATTGGTGGGTGGAAAATATCTAGAACCTACGCTTCTATACTATTTGTCCTTTTATTTTCAATTCTAACTTTAGTTATTTTCCAGAGATTTGTCCTTCCTGCCCTCTTCTTAGGCTCTGTCATTCTGAATGACAATGATATACTTTTCTGTCCCTGAATAAAAAATTTTTTATTCAGAATCAGAAAAATATAAATACAAAATAAAAATTAATAAAACTCACACTTGAGATAACTACTAAAACAATACATAGGTCATTATTTCTAGATACAACCCCTCGCCCAGATGCTAGACTTTACCACTATGCGTTCAGTCACCTGCTGAAAATGTTCTGCAGTGTCTGTTTGAACTCAGCCTCTGCCTATCAGTGGTGATGCCCTTTGTCCTGGTCAGGCTTGCTCAGACCCTCATAGTCATCACAATGCACTCAACTCATTTTTATTACATCTACACTTAATCATTCAATACAATTGATTCCTTTCTTTTGTTCTATCAGCGATAATCAATGAACCAACAAACCTGGTTTGAGAGCCCCCACTATAGTGTGCCACTCTCATGGGAATGTGTCCTATTTGTCAGGAGTGTCAAGGGTTGAAAAAGGGTTGAAAAAGGGTTGAACCACAATCTCAATTCTTATGTCTTCTGAGCCCTACCTCCCGCATTGCAAGTCTATATTCCTTCAAACTCAGTTTTCAAAAGCTTTTCTATACACTTCCTAAAGCCCTTTTTTTCCTGCTTGAAAACCTTCAGAGACTTCCCATTGCTTTCAGCAGCCATTCTCCAAAATTATATACAGATACCATTAGTAGGATGAAAGATTTTCATAACTGATCATCCACGCAATGCCTGATCTCTTCCTATTATGATGGGCTATTGGGTGAGGGGTGAGGTGGAGCTTTGTCTCTAACGATTACACTTTTCTGACTTCTAAATAGCTTCTGCGTCATGGTATTGGTCTGTCAACAAGTTCTGATAGTGAAATGATTACCCAGTTACTGGCATATACCCCTCCTCAGGAACAAGATGACACCCCAGATTGGGTAGCAAGGTAATTGTAAGTTTAAGCTTGCAGCTTTGATAATGAGAACTTTGCCTAGCGTGTGTTTATAAATGAAATTATTCATTCAATTATTTAATTCATTCCAGGATTAAAAACTTAATGAAGGAAGCACCCACAGCATATTCCCTACTTATAATGCACAGAGATGTTATTTATGCAGTACGAGATCCTTATGGAAATCGTCCTCTATGCATTGGTCGTCTTATTCCTGTATCTGATATAAATGATAAAGGTAATGAACTTCAAAAGGAATATAATTTCATAATGCTTTTCCAGGTCATTGTTCTATTGCCTGAAAGCATTAGGTATACAAAACTTATGAGTGAGAAAGGGGCTAGGTAGAAAAGAAAAAAGTGATAGTTTTTAAAGTACATTTTCTTGAGCATTTCTGAAGATCAGCCCCTTTTAATATATTTAATGGACATTCCTATTTTTTGTTATCTGAATTGCCTATTCATAGCCTTTGCCCAGCTTTTTATTTGTGTAGTATGATTTCAGTGATGTTCTTTTTGACTTATCAGATGTCTTATTTGAGCTAGGAAATCATAATGTTTGGAGGAATCTAGGGATCATTAATTATATCTTTGGCTCAAATCAAATGAGGATCCATGTGCTCTTAAAGTCATAGAAAAGAATATTCCGTGAGCTTTTTTTATTTATCTATTTGGTGTTTAATTTTTGTCTTGAAATAGAAATGTTTTAAAATTTTTTGAATCCATTTACAGAGAAAAAATCTTTGGAAACAGAAGGATGGGTGGTATCTTCAGAATCTTGTAGCTTTTTATCTATTGGCGCAAGGTAAGTTTTATCTCACTTAGCATGTTAGCTTTTTCCACATTGGTATAAGAATTTATTATTACATGAAAGTTTTTTTTCTAGTGTCTACTAGAAGACTTATTTATAAATGCACTCTCTTTTGTACATTGTGCTCAGCACTTACGCTTACTTTAACTTTAACGTTCCACTAATACCATCTAATCTGAAACTGACATCTTTCAAAATGCCATAAGACTTATTTTAGAAAGGAAGAATTCTCTTCAACAAGGAATAGTTATGATCAAAAAATTTAAGCCAGGATAACAATGTTCCCTTTAGCCTTTATTCTTTCAAAAATCAGTAAAACTTAGAGCTGTTTTCTTTTTCTTTTTAATTCTGGTTAGAATTTTAGGGTAACAGATTGATAGAAATTACTACTGGAGGGATATTACTTGTTTATTTTTTTAAGCCATCTCTAGAATTGAACCATTTTTCCTTTATAAGGAACTCTGTGTTTACTTTAATAGATGTTATTATCAACCTTAAGGACTGGTTTATTTAAAGTCTTCTGTCTTTAATATCGTTTCCCAAGGTATTACCGTGAAGTCTTGCCTGGAGAGATTGTGGAAATATCCAGACATAATATCCAGACTCTTGATATTATACCAAGGTCTGAAGGAAACCCAATGGCTTTTTGTATCTTTGAATATGTTTATTTTGCAAGACCAGATAGTATATTTGAAGGTAAGTAAAATAGGTTCATTGATATAAATGTTATTTATCTCATTGAAACATGGCAGTTCTTGGCCTCAAGGCTTGTCTGGATCTTTGAAGACACGCGTTATATGTTATAGATGTGAGACTGAGCCTACAAATTGTAAGCTCACTGTTTTTTTCCTTTTATCTGACTCTTGGATTTTTTTTAGGAGTAAGGATTATGATTTTCTGTATTAAGGTCAATTTTTAAAAAATAGTTAATTCTCTAGTTTATGTATTAACACTTTAGTGGTTTTATATGTCTTGCTTTTCTTTTTGTACTCGATCTATAAAATAATCTGTTGTTTTTCCAAACATTCTAGACCAAATGGTTTACACAGTAAGATACCGTTGTGGTCAGCAGCTGGCAATTGAAGCCCCTGTGGATGCAGATTTGGTTAGCACAGTTCCAGAATCTGCTACACCTGCTGCTCTTGGTTACGCTGGAAAGGTATATTTTCTCTTAATTAACAGGCAGTGAATTGTTCTTCTAGTAGTGGAATTAGAAATCCTTGTGTATAAAGAGAAACACATTAGTGTATTGTAGGTAAAAAGAAAATTTTGGTTCCTTTACAAGAGTTAATTATTTTCCAGCCTTTTTATTCCACTGCACTATGTTAGTGGAGTCCACAAAAAGGTTCACCTAAAGACTAAGAGAATGATCTCCTTCATTTTAAAAAGATAACATAATGAATATATATAGAATTTAGTGGTAACATTTATTATTATTAAAACCTCCTTGAAATACCCTCACAAGGCACTGGTACATTATTTGTTCCTTATTGAACATGGGTGATAATAAAGCCATTTATGTTCATTTTGTATAATGTTCTTAGTACTATGCTTAATTTAATTTTTCATAACTAGGTAGATTATAAAACTATAGTGGTCCTTGGGTATAATACCCAGCATTCACTATGTTGGAAAATTTAGTTTTTTAATTTTTTAAAAAATGTGCACACATTTTAGAGAATTATTACCTTGAAAGATGGATAAATCACCTCTTGTCCCTCAAAAAGCATCTCCTTAGCCTACTGGTTTTAATTCCTTTCTTTCTGCTAATTTTTAAATATATGAGTTTTTTTGATAGTAATTTATTCTTTCTCACATCTGGACATGCTTAGTATTCTCTTCTAAGATGAAGAAATAATATTTAAGAGAGAAGCATTACAGATTCTAGCAAAATGAATTGGTTTTTCCACCAAGTATATTACTTTCAATATTTTTCTTTTTGCCTTTTTCCCCTACAGTTTAAACAATGAAGGAAAATTGTAATCTGATAATAGAGAGTTCAGAATAACAACCACATTTAAAATTTTTACGTACGTATTATAATGGAAGCATGACCTAGAGTAAATAGGAACCTAGAGTTCTTTGTATATTGCTGCTCATTGTCCTTTTATTTCTTCTCAGTGTGGGCTTCCATATGTGGAGGTACTATGTAAAAACCGGTATGTAGGAAGAACCTTCATTCAACCAAACATGAGGTTAAGACAACTTGGTGTTGCAAAAAAATTTGGAGTATTATCAGACAACTTTAAAGGCAAAAGAATTGTTCTTGTAGATGATTCAATTGTGAGAGGTAATACCATCTCACCCATAATCAAATTGCTCAAAGAATCTGGTGCAAAAGAGGTAAGTAATATTAAAACATATCCTAAAGCTCCAATAATTAACATATGATACTGGCATAAAAATTGCAGTTATCACAGTGAATGAAAATGGATTGTTCAATATAATAAATTGACATTTCTTAAATTAAGCTGGTTCAGGAATAACTGCAACAACATGAAAAACATGTAATAGTCACTCTTAAACTATATGCTAATCTTTAGTAGATTAAAAAGCTCAATATGAAAGCTTAAAATTTTTTAAAATATTAATTTAAAAACAAAACACAAAATAGAATACTTTTTAAATTTGTAGAGTATTACTCTCTTTTTGAAGAGGTAGAACAAATTCTGGTGTAATAAATTTGACACACTAGGTTATATTTTTAAATCTCAAAGCTTATTCTAAATCTAAATAGTTCAGAATTCAAATTATAGAAGTGAGATCTCATTTACAACTACTAGTTGAATGGATATAAAAATAAAATCTATTGTAAGAGAAAGTGGTATGGAAAGCAGTTTGACAGCATATTTAGAAAGCTTCAAAGATAATTATGATTTTCCATTCTTTTTTATGACCAGTTATGATCATGATAATCTCTTTGGAATTTTATGAAAATCATGTTAGAAAAACAAAAAGGTATAAAGTAAATCCAACATCTATTACAATAGTAAAAAAATAGACAAAAGAACTAGAAATGGTTTATATAATCTATCACTAGGAAATCATTTAGTAAATTGATACATCAGTATGATGAAATACGATGTAGATATTAAAAATTATAATGAAGGCTGCACAACATAGGAAAATCTTTGCTGTTATAAGAATGGCAAAAAGTTAATGTGGACACCAATTACAGCCTTGTAAATGTTCTTGACAAAAAGCAGAAAATAATAATAGACAAAATAATAGACAAAAATAGCTCTTTGCAGTAGTAAGGTTTTTTGTTATATCCTAGTTAGTTGGTATTTTTTAAATGGTGAAATAGAGGAGCAGGGAGGAAGATGGAGTAAAAGGAGTCGAATATGTGGTGAGAGAAAGAAATCTAACTATAGGCAGTGAACACACAATGCAATATATATATGTCTTACTGTTAAGTTGTGCATCTGAAACTTACTGGATTTTGTTAACCAATGTAACTATAATAAAAATTAATTTAAAAAAGATTAAATAAAAAAATAAATGAAAATAAAATGGTAAAATAAGAGGTAGGCAAAAGTGTCATCCAAGAATTACTAGAGAAAACGAACGTGGTCCTAGGAGTGTAAAGTCATTAAATGATGAGATGTAGATCAGAATAAAGAAATGGCCTTGTTAATAGGTGACAGAAAGAAAGAATGGGCAGCTCTGTAAAAAGAACCCTCCTTTACAAGTGACTGACATTTTGAAATTCTTGTCCAGGACACTTTGGAGTCTAGAGCAGGGCTGCTCCAGTAAGATTCTTCAGTGATAAATGAATTCTGAAAATAATTCTGTCTGAAAATTGGAGTTCTATGTGTATACCACATGATTCTCCAGGATTCCTTTCCATCTATTATTCAGTGAAAGAAATTTTATGGTTTGCTTTATATCCCATGTTATTAAATATTCCGTGAAACAATTTTATGTTGCATTTGTCAGTGACAGAATTTTACGTAATCGTTCTTACAATGAATGTTAAAATAACAAATGTATGAAATGATTTTTTTCCAAGGTACACATTCGAGTAGCTTCACCACCAATTAAATATCCATGCTTCATGGGAATAAACATACCAACAAAAGAAGAGCTTATTGCCAATAAACCAGAATTTGAGCATCTTGCAGAATATCTAGGTAGGTATTGAAATTCCTATAAACTTTATTCATCTATTAACAGAAAATCCAAAGCTTGTCAGTCTTTACACTTTTAATAAGAAAATGTTCAATATTGTGTATATTGAGCAGATATTGAACACTGTTCTGAATAGTGAAAGCGCCTGGTATGTAGAGACACCGTAGTAAGTTCTGTGTTGGAGAGCTAGGTCAGTGTGCAGTCAAGGACAAGAGGAAAGGCTTTCCAGGGAGAGGAAACTGCAAGCATATCAGTCGAAGCCTCCCAAAGGTCAGATTCCAAGAAAAAAACAATTTTGCCACAGATTCTAATAGAATAATTTGGATTTGGGTACAAATAAAAAAATGAAAAGTGTATCTAGGCTTATCTTTAAAAATGATGTCAAGAGAGTTGGAGATCTAGGTCATCCTGGATAAGACATTTGCCTTTGAAATTCAGGTGAGGTATAAACTATTTAAATATCACAAAAGTGTTCAGCCAGTGTGCCTTGGTACCTCCCCACTGGCTGTTTATGGCTGGTGTTTCTTTTGACTGGTCATGCCTGAGTCTTACCAGTTAAATATTTTGAATATCGCCCAACTGATATAATATTGTGAGCACTCACCCTGCCAGGAATATATCTGTATTATTGTAATAGGATCACAAAAACCCTACAATTAGGCAGTGTTTGTTTTCCTTATCTTAGAGATGAAAAAAAATGGAATTAGGAACAGTAAGTGACCTTCAGCATAAATTAGAACCCAGATCTTGATTTCAAAATCTATTGTCTTAATCATGAAAATTACCCCCTGAAGCCTCATGGATGCATTCTAGACTGGAAGCCACCACTGCTATTTTAAATTCCAATTTAAAATTTAAAAAAAATAATAAAAGCCCCAAGTTTTATTGATTTTACACACACACAGACACACACACACACACACACACACACACACACACACACACACTTTTATTTTTAAGAGCGGCTAAAGGAGAAATTTTTATTCTGGTTTAAGTTTTTCTGTTCATAACTATTCTCTGTGGAGACAGTTCTTCCTTTCCAAAAGCAGTCTCATGTCATTTTTCTTTTTTCCTCTTTCCCCCTGTATAGGAGCAAACAGTGTTGTGTATCTGTCAGTAGAAGGACTGGTTTCATCTGTACAAGGGATAACATTCAAAAAACAGAAAGTGAAAAAGCAAGATATTATGATTCAAGAAAATGGGAATGGTCTGGAGTGCTTTGAAAAGAGTGGTCATTGCACAGCTTGTCTCACTGGAAAATACCCTGTGGAACTGGATTGGTAGCTGGTAGGGGTTGTACAGTGTTTCAAGATATGAAGCTGGTCAAGAAGTTATTTATAGTGGTTATACCTTATCCTGTCAGCTTACTGTTACTTTGTACAATGTAAAATGCCACATGGTTATGTTTACTTTTATACGTTTTGAGGTTTTTTTCCTGAAAGGGGTACCAAAGTGCTATGCTTTTTTTAATGAACATAGATAAATATTTTTGTGTTATCTAGGAACTTGGATGATCCTTTCAGTTTTATTTAGTAGTTGAGTGCTTTGAAGCTATCGATTATGAGATTGTCAACAGTAATGCAAAGGATAGGTAAATTTTCTGTTTTAGAGGGGATTGCCAGTTACTATACCTTCCCACAAATTCTTATAGAATTTTGTGGAATGTTTCTTGAGTTATTGAAATTCAGTTATGGAATATTTTCATAATTGAACCTTGCTAATTACATTTAATACAACAATATTGGTATTCTTTTTTTACACAAGCATTGGCTAGCCTTTTTCCCCTGGTTAGAGATGGGAGGTGGTAAGTGGCATTTGCCAGGTCCATGCTTTAAAGAATTTGCAAGAAGTTAGATGGTGTGATGGAAACAGGACAGGTGAGTTAAATATAACATTTCACGCTGATCTTGAATCCGTTATACCCCAAAGGTGTCAACTCTCTATAGAGTTCTGACTGTAGTTATAACCTTGGCTTCCCTGTTTAGACAAATCTTTTTCAAAAATGCCTTTTTGTGCCTCACTTTTCCCCACCTGTGCAATGGGGTACTTACTAAAATAATTAATAGGAATGTGAATAAGTGTCGTATATTTGATGTTTAGAGCCATCGTTTTACTCCTCAAGATTTTAAGATAGTGCATGGTTATTACCTTTTGAAATGTTGACTATTAGTCTGCAATTGAGATTTCATTATGATGAAGGGAGACATACAGTTTAGCAGTGCTTTGCCACCCACCTTTGAGATGCCCTAAGAATAACTGTAAAAATATGTCTGTGGAAAAAGTTTTCCTACATTTGACTAGTAAGTGTGATCCATACTTCTTAGTGCCCTTATAATATAAAGTACAGCAAGTAACTTAGTACATTTGAAGTAAAAAAAATTTAGATTCTAATAAAACTTTAATTCTTAATTTGATTAATTATATGCATTTTGAATGAAGTGCTTGATCACTTGTAAGTACATACCTATCTACATTTATATACATATGCATATCATTGCAATTAAATGGTCAAGTAGAAACATTGCAGCGGCCAATTTTATTAGGGGATCAAGGAGGCAACTACTTTTTTGGAATTAGCATACCCATCTAATTCCAAACATCAACTTATCACTTCTTCCTACTTAGTTTTATTGAGACTAATGAATTTTATTTTTTTGAGGTTTTTCTCTTATAACATCTGAGATTTAAAATTTTAAGACAACTTGCCCCAACTCCTGTTTATGTAAGATTTTTAAAACATAAAAGTATTTGTTTCTGTGTTATTTAGTTACTATAATTTGATGTATGTAGTTTTCAAATCCATTTGGAAATGTAATATTTATTAATAACTAAAATCTTGTGTCTTCATTTGGTATATAGTTTCACATGTTATATAATGGTAGGCCACGATAAAATCCTGACAGCTCTTTAAGCCCACATACAGCCAGGTAGCAGTGGGCCAGGTGACCCTGTGGCAGTGACGCAAGCAAATTGGTATTTGAATAAAGCCCTGGGACCATTTGAGTATATAGTCTCTTGTCTTAAATGTTTCTCAGAGCAGCATGACGTGAAGGAGGCAAGACTATGGGTCCATTTTAAACAGCCTTTTTTAACATTTGCTTTTTAAAAACAAGAGACTCAGGGAAAGTACTAAACCAAAATCTCTCATTTGACTTTTGTGTTTTTCATAGTTTTCATTTTGCTTTTCATAGTTTTTGTTTTATCAAAATGCTTTTATAAAGGAATATAGTACTGTGACAATTTGGTAATTCAACAAAAATTCTAAATGTTTCTCCATCATGGCCTTGTATTTCACAAGTTTCTGACGTCTGGATTACAGTTTTTTACCAGTTTAATCAAAAATGTTGTTTAACTGCTTTAAATTTATATAGAGAGTATTGTAAACTTCAGAGAAGATAAAGAATGTGTTTTCACAGGATCTATATTGTTGTGAACTAAACTAAGCCTACTTTTTTGTGACCTCATTGTGATGTATTGGTGACAAATATATGTAATGAAGTATGTTTAAATGTGTGCGTGCTTTTTTAAAAAAGTAACTTTTAGTGCATTATGGTGACTAGCACAGTGACAGTCACATCCAAGCTTCATACTTGGCACCAGCGAGTCAGATCTTATTTCTCTGAGTCAGGCCTTTCAATAAATAGGCTATCTTTTATGAACCAGGAAAAACTGCTTGTTGAGTAGGAGGGACAATAAAGTAATTAGAAATGCAGTGCTAAGTACGCACTACCATAGTGGCAAGTTCTATGGAAACACTAATGAGAATGAGGAGAGTGTCACAGGACGTTTACATTCCGTGTGTGTGTGTGTGCGCGTGTGCGTGTGTGTGCGGGCGCACGCACGCACGCATGCATGTGCACACACGCATGCTGTATTATTTTTTTGTCAGTCAAATTAAAGTAGGTAAATGAATACACTGTGGTATATATGGACAATGGAATATTACTTAGTCCTAGAAAGAAATGAACTATCAAGCCATGAAAAGACATGAAGGGAACTTAAATGTGCATTACCAAGTGAAAGAAGCCAATCTGAGAAGCTACATATTAAATGAATCCAACTATATGCCATTCTGAAAAAGGCAAAACTATGGGAACAATAAAAACATCTGTGATTTCCAGGAGTTAGGTGGGAGAGGTAGGGATGAATAGACAGCACAGAATTTTTAGGACAGTGAAAACAAAAGTTGACCCTTGAGCAATGTGGGTTTAGATCAGGTCTACTTAAATGCAATTTTAAAAAATAAATACAATAAATATTTTCCTTATTATTTTCTTAGTATTTTTTTTATTTAGCTAGCTTACTGTACTGTTATAATACAGTATATAACATCCAGAATATGTGTCAATTGACTATTTATGTTATCGGTAAGGCTTTTGGTTAGCAGTAGGCTCTTAGTAGTTGTTTTGAGGTACTCAATTTATACATGGATTTTCGACTGCGTTGGGGGTTGGTGCCCTTAATTTCTACATTGTTGAAGGGTCAACTGTACTCTCTGTAGTGGTGAATGCATATCATACATTTGTCCAAACCCATAGAATCTGCAATACCAAGAGTGAACTCTAATGTAAACTCTCTTAACTTTGGGTGATATGGTATGTCGGTGTAGGTTCATCGGTTGAAATAAATGTACCACTCTGGTGGGGATGTTGCTAATGGGTGGCGCATATGAGGGGGCAGGCGGTATATGGGGACTACTCTGTACCTTCTATTCAATTTTGCCATAAACCTAAAACTGCTCTAAACAATAGTCTATTTACAAATAAAGATAGGAGCATCCCACCTCTAAAAAACAACAACAAAAAAATCAAAATAATACATGGATACACTTTAGATGTTAAAAAACAAAGGTCACTGGCCTCCAGTCCTCTAATGCATCCACATTTAAATACTTTTCTGTTTTAACCTGTATGTTTTAAATAATTAACTCATACTGTTACTGTTGGGACCATCTAAAATCCATTGTGCCCCAGTAGCACTGAGAGGTATCTCGATTCTTTTCGCCTAAAGAATTACAGATCAGCAAGATTTAGAAAAAATAAGTTTAAAGTAGTTTCAAGAGAGGAATGGGTCACACTGAAAAGGGCTGTAACGTGCAGAAGTTAAAGGTATGATTAAAGTAGGCTTCAAGGGAGGGGCAGGTTACAGGGAAGAGGGCTGTAACTCCATAGAAGTAGGGAGGTCTGTATAATATTAGGGCCATGATGGGTGGTTACAGAGGTGGTACTAATTGATTGGAGGTGAGGTCATTTTGATTGACATTTGGCTGTTATATAACAGCCTATTGCTCATGCGGTTACCCAGAATCCAGTCTGTGATAATTAGACTCATGAACTTCTGGGCATAGGCATGATATTATAATAATAGTATAATGAGGCTGAGGTGAAAAGAAGGTCAAAATAGTCCTTACTGTGCAAGCGTTTGTGGCCCCATTAAACCAGCTATTTTATGGTCTTTTTTTATTCCCATGTTCCTCAGGATGCAGGAGTGATTTATAACTATAAAATGGGTGTTGCAGGGAGGTCTTTGAGAGGTCTCTGAGCTGGGCCTTCGTTCCTTTGTTCCTCTATCACTCATGTCTGCCTAACTTTACCTAACAATACTATTTCTTACTGTACCAATTTTAGACATCTCTTCTGCCCTGGAATCCAGCAAAGTCTGCTATAACAGGTAGACTTAAAACATTCCGTCATTTTAATATTACTGCCTCTGAAAATTTTGCCCTAGAGCATCGTATGAATCTCTAATGCCTTTTGGGGAGGGTTCAAATACAGACATTGGAGATATTGTACATTCGGTTCTAGACCACCACCAAAATAAAGCAAATATCACAATAAAGGAAATCATAATCTTTTTGCTGGTGGAGGGTCTTGCCTTCGATTTGTAAAAAATATAACCCCTGTGAAGTGCAATAAAGCAAAACTCAATAAAATGAAGTATACCCATAGAGCCTAGTCAACTCTAAGGAAAATTGTCCTCATGTTTCTTGAAGAGGTCAAAATGAAAATCTAGGCCTCAGAAAAAGTTGCATGCTCCTTAGACATTTTGGTATAAGCTGGAGTATGCAATGTAAATTTATATTTTTGTGTGCAGAAATTCTCATGTAGCTAAGAAGTTGTTGGATGGCAGGAACCAATGCTTTTTATCTTTATGGAAGTTGTCACAAGATTTACTGTAATACTGAACTCACTGCACTGTGAAAAAAAGGAAAATGACTGCACAAAGTACACCCACATGAGCCCTTGTACTCTTCCTCAGTCACTGAATTTGCTTCGTTGAAAACTACTAGTTTGGTTTCACTATTGACATACTGATGGATATATTAGATATGATGGTTAATTTCATGTGTCAACTGGGGTTATCTGTCATGCCCAGTTGTTTGTTCAAACATCAGTCTAGATGTGAAGGTATTTTTTTGATGTGATTAACATTTAAATCAGCAGACTTTGAGTAAAGCAAATTATCCTCTATATGTAAGTGGGCCTCATCCAGCCCACTGAAGGCCTTAAAACAAAAATGAAAGTTTCGTGAAGATAGAATTTTCAAAATTGCAGCATAGAAACCCTACCAAAGTTTCTAGACTGCTAGCCTACGCTGCAGATTTCAGACTTGCCAGCCCCCACATTGTGCTCGCTTTCTCCCTCTATAGATGATAGATGATAGATAGATAGATAGATAGATAGATAGATAGATAGATAGATAGATAGATATAGATAGATAGAAAGAATTATTTGTTTCTCTCAAGAACCCTAATAGGCTTGCCACTCTGGCAAACAGCATGACCTCCCTCATTCCTCCATTCTGTCCTAGCCACCCACTAATCTCTCTGCCTTCAACTGAGCAGCTGAGCACTGTTAGAGTAAGTCACACAACACACCGTTATCCCAAATATGGTATGTGCTACAAAGCACATAACAGGGACCTAGACTTGTCTTTGGGGTAGTGCGATGTTGTGATATTTTAATAAGAAATATATTCCATTTCTGGCATAGAGATTCTAAAACCCTTGAGATTCCCTAAGTGATAACTTTTCTTAAAATATCGGAATTTACCATAATATCAGGACTTATTATAACAAACACCTTTCAACCACACCCGAGTTTATGTTACTGAGGTGACTTAGAAGACACCTAAAGATGGGGGCTAGTTACCAGGGGAACCAACCCTGTGATTAGAGGGTTAGAACTTTCAGTTCCACACCCTAACTTCCAGGGAGGGAAAGGGGCTGGAGCTAATGGCCAGTGTTTTAACCAATTATGCCTATGTGATGAAGCCTCCATGAAAAACCCAGAAAGATGGCTTTGGGGAGCTTCCAGGTTGGTGACTTGGACATTTGGGGATAATGAAGCACTGAGAGTGGAAGCTTCGTGCTCCCTGCCTATATACCTTGCTCTATACATCTCTTTCATCTGAGTTAATTGGTGGTGTGGAAAAAAACACACATTGTAGGTAAGATCAAAGAGTTTCAGAATTATTTTTGAAAGAAACAACATTGATAGCTGAGATGAGTAGAGAAATTAGGTGAAGAGAAGCAGTGACCTTAGAATTACCAACAAATGTGCAAATGATCACCAAGGTACTGGGGTAGGCATTTGATACTTCCCCAGGAGGTGAAACAGTGTAGTGGATGGAGAAAAGTAAAAACAAGTGCAAAAGGCCTGAATCCCTGCTTTCGAAGTACTTATATTTAGTATAAGAAGTTAAACTTGGAAACAATGCAGCTGTTACAGATGCTATGAGAAAAATCCTTTGGGAAGAGTCTAGGCTTGTATCCTACTTAAAAGCTAATAAGCTAGCCTGTTACTGTTTTGTGGCAGTGGTCCTGAGATTTCCGGGTCAAAAATAGAGAACTTTATTACTCATGACAAAAGAAGTAGCCAGAAGTTCATGTCTGCATCATTTCCCCATGCCTCCTAAGTCTCATGGGTGATGGAATCGGGCACAGATGGATGTCTGCACATGCAGTCGGTTGCATTATAGGAGAAGACTAAGTTTGGGGAATTCACTGCTTTTATAGTAAGTGGAAGCACGCCTGCTCCTTGAAGAAGGCATTACTTCAGCTCTCATGATTGACGCCCCCAAACACCCCTGAAAAATGATCTGGATAAAGAGCAGTCAGTGCCTTGCATTCTTGGTATATCCAGCAAGAATTTTCAGGGACACTCCAGGCCCATGGCAGACCATCCCTGCCAACAAGAAAGGCATCAAGGAGGTTTAAGCTGTGTTTTTGATGCTAGAGAGCTCGTCTGGGCAGGAGTGCAAAGAGGGACCCCGGGCCGGAGCTCTGGTTACCAAGTTCTTGTCTTATGCCACGAGAAAGAATTCAAGAGCACAAACCAAGCAGGGAAGTGCAGAGAGCTTGCCCTAGGCCCATGGCAGACCATCCCTGCCAACAAGAAAGGCATCAAGGAGGTTTAAGCTGTGTTTTTGATGCTAGAGAGCTCGTCTGGGCAGGAGTGCAAAGAGGGACCCCGGGCCGGAGCTCTGGTGACCAGGTTCTTGTCTTATGCCATGAGAAAGAATTCAAGAGCACAAACCAAGGAGGAAAGTGCAGAGAGCTTGCCCCGCATTGTCTGAATCATGGGCTTGTTTTCTTGGTGGTGGGGGGCGTCCCAAAGCTATCCAGCCTCCCTCCTGGTCTGGAAGAGAGGAGGCAGCCCAAGGCCAACTATCTTGTCTCCTGTCATTGGACTGTTTCTCTTGCTGGGGTCTCAGGCCTGAAATCAAAACAAAGAGGGCCGAATAAGGGACAAGGAAGAATTTTCAGAGCTGCAGGGAGAGGGCTGAGTAAGGGACTGAGAAAAAAATCCCAGAGCTGCATGCTGGAGGGGAGGGGGAATTTCCCTAGTCTGGCTGTCCTGCCTCATTTTCATAAGAGGAGTAACTTCATCAAGTAGTCATGGAGAGAAAAGGGAGGCATTTCAGCCTGAGACCCAGCTAAAGCACAGGTGTGAAAATAATATGGGCTTGGTATACTCAGATGACTTCCTAGGGTTTCGTAGCCAGAGTTTACTGTACCAGGTGTGATGAATGCAGAAGGAGGGGCCGGGGAGCAGTGATCCAATGTGTGAGATTAGGCTAGGAAGTTAATGAACCATCTTGTTTACCTTGCTTAAGAGGCTGAATGTCATGTAGGCAACGAGGGACACAAGCTTCTTAAGCAGAGACTGCTATGACTGATCTGATGTATGTTTTAGAATGGTGACTCTAGGTTACCAGGTGAAAATGGTGTCTTGAACATAGTCTTCCACACTTTAAGACCCCCTGAAAAATGACAATAAAGGGATTTCTAAAGTCATAAACCCTCAATAATAGAGGAAAAGATAACAGAAAATTCTGGAATCAAAGCAAAGGGCTCAGCTGATTTGGGAAAGTTAGATTCGAAACCAGCAGTGATCAATCCTATTTACATCACAGAAACCCTAAAAAACTCAGAAACTGACTTCTGGAAGTAGGGTTGAAAAGGATCGGAAGTTGATTTAGGAATAAGTTATATCCTTACACCACTACCCATCACCCCTGCAGCCTAATTCTGTAGGCTATTTTGTTGCTCAGGAGTCCTTGTATTGGAGGACATCAGACACTTGAAAATTTTATGCTGAATTCTGAGACTCTCCCCACCTGAAGCCCTTTTCTCTCACTTGATTTTCAACTTATCTCATGGACTCAGAGCTTTCAATCAGCTTTTAAATACCCCATTTATATGAACAGATAAGGATTACTAGGCAAATGAAGAAACCTTTGAGTCTTAAACCAAGAGGAGAAAAAAGTATAGACTGCAAGGGGGAAAAAACTACTCAAAAAAAAAAAAAAAAAGCTGTTAAAATCGAAGTTGAAAGATGGTATTGTAATAATGAAACAGACATCACTCTGGCAGGAACTGGGAGTCGGAGCCAAGCAAGAATGGAAAGGCTTCAGGGAAAAGCTAACCAAGAAGACTTGAACTAAGGCAGCAGTGGTGATGAAGATAGCATGTTGAAAATGTGGATTGGAGGTCCCTCACTAGAAAACTAATTCAGAACTTCTCGGGCTGGAGGTCAAGTAATATGGAATCTGTGTAATTCTGATGTAGCCAGCAGGGACTGACCAGTGCTCCTATGAAAATCTAACGCCTACTGATTTGAGGTGGAGCCAAGCCTGTGATGCTAGCGCTGGGGAGTGGCTGCAAATACAGATAAAGCTTCACTCCTGGTCCACTGCAGCCCCGTTCCTAACAGCCCATGGATGGTACCAGTTCGTGGCCCAGAGGTTGGGGACTCTTGGTATAGAGATTGGGGACTGGAGACATAGGGTCAAATTGGATATAGGAGGGTAAAAAAAGAGGGGGGAAATCTAGGTTTCTTTACCAGCTGGCTGGCTGGATGATGGTGTCATTCCTAAATACAGAAGCAAAGATAAACATTTGAGACCCTCCTCTTCCTGACCCCCCCAAAAAAGACATGATAGTTTAAGTGTCCTGTAGTACATCTGGGAGACTGTCTCTTGGGCAGTGGAGACATCTTTTGCTTGGATTGCTGCTAAAGTTTCTTGCTACCAACACCTAAGGAAATGAAAACATGCTATGTATGCTTTTTCCATGTATCCTTGTCCATATTGGGCTGCCTTCTCAGCCCTTCCCTAGCCAAAACAAAAAAAAACAACAAACAAACTGATCATTTCCTTTCTGCTACCACACAGTAGCTTAAAAATGTCACTATTATTGCCACTTGTAATAATTTACATGTCTCAAACTATAACTCTTGGAAACATTATTATTTAGGTGTATGGTTTATGTAACTCTCCCCCGTCAGATGTTTTATTTTCTTTATAGCTCCTATTGAATGCTGAAATTTTCTTTGTTGTTGTTTACACCCACCTCTTCCAATTAAAATATCAGCCTAATTATGACAAAGAATTCGTTTGCAGGCTTAATCGCTGCAGTCCCAGTCCCCTGCAGTCTAGGGCAGGTTCTCAGAAATATCAAATGGATAAAGTCCACTCACTCTCTCATTTCACACTGATTCCATCTTTTTTTCACATCAACTCTAGGTGATATCTTCATCTCCATTTTGTGAACACAGAGACCGCGACTCAGAATTCAAGTATTTTGCCCAGAGTTTCTTGGCAAATATCAAAGGCTACGGCTCCAAGCCGATCAGCTCCAAAGTCCCTGCAAACTCTGTCCAAAACGCAGCAAGACCAGGACGGGTGTCAGAGTTGAGAGTCACCAGCAAAAACAGCGCCAGCCCTTCTCCTACGTCGGCTCTGCGGCAGGGCGCGCGCCCGGGTCGGCGCGGGTCGCTCCCGTGACGTCAGTGCGGCGACACGGAAGGTTTCCCAGAGCCGGAGCCTCCCAGACACCCCGCGATCCGTGCGACGGCTGTCTTTACAGCTTGCGGAGACAGCGTTTTCGAGGTGTCTGGGGTCTGTCTGCTGGGGGTTTGGATAGGGTCGGACCTCCGGCCCACCCACAGGCCCTCTGAGTCGGTTGCGGCAGGAGGCGGTGTCCAGCAGGGACTTGTGTGAAGGAGACGAGGTACCACGAGCCCTGGGGCTGGCTGCTCACAGGTTTGCTCAGCTTCAGGGACACCATCTGGCCTCGAATTTGAGTCAGTGGTGTCTGGCGGGTTGAAAAGACTAAACTGACCCGTGTGATCTCTTCTGAGTCACCCAGCCTTGTACCCCCTGCCGCTTCATTCAAATAGAAATAAGCCTGCCCCACCTACCGTTAGCTGGTTTTGAAGATCTAATGAAAAAGTGTTTTGGAAGCTATATAATTCATTGTTATAAAACGTGGTTGCATAATTAAGTTAAGCCAGTAGATACGGGAAAATAAAGTTTATAGATTATTTATCGGTCTTTAAAATAGCCAGTAACGTAGAGAGAGTCCCCAAAGTGAAAGCATTCGTTGACATTCTTAAGACCTCTAAGGACTCAACAGCAGCCTCCGCGGTTGTAAATAAAGTAACAGAAATCTTAACGATCCCATATAAGATCTGCTTATCAGATGTTGTATTTTTTTCTCTTTACAAGGTCCAAGAAATGTTTGAGCATCCGATAAGTATAGTATTCTTTACTGGAGAGACTATATTTATCATTTGGCTAATGAAAATGAAAAACCTTAAGCAAGAATAGGTATGGCCTTAATTCTCTGTAGCAACCACTGGAACTTGATTACAAGTAGAACATCTTAATTATTGTATAGATATGTGTGGTGAGTGTAGTAATTTGTTATAAAAATGGCATTTTCTTTTTTAAGAATTTAATTCATTTTATAATCTTGCCCCTGTGATGTCAAGTAATTTTGGAGTATAATATATTAGATTGTTCTCAAGTGGAAAATTAACTGCTGTATGTGTTTTTGCTTTTAAAAATGCATTATTTTTTTGCACATTGACTATAAATTTTTGTAAGAATGCCTTAGTATAATACATTCTATACTGCAGGCAGTTTTTACTCACATCGGAGAGAGAGTAGCAGAAGATTTCTCACGAAGTCATTCCCCATAATTTTAGTGCATGCTATGGAAAGTCTTCCTTATATTTACACAATGATCATTTGTCTTTGAGTAAAGCTTAACATTTTATCTCGTGCATCACAAAATAGTATTTATAGAAATGTTTACTAAAAAATAATGTAAGTACTAAAATTATTAGAAATCATAGTATTTCTAAACCTTATGGATCTCAGCAGTTACTGGTTCATTTTGCTTTTTAGGAATGTTTTGTTTTTCTAATTGATATTAAATGACATGGATGCAATTTTATTTTGAATCAGTAGAAAAATCAGTTCAAGTAAGTAGGAACAAATAAAAACAACTTGAATAATTAAAATTATCTACTTGAGAAATCTTATTTGCTTTGAAATCTGGAATTTAGAGTTCACAGAAGGAGAAAAATATCACCTTCACCTTCAAGGAAATACTAGCAGTTTTGAGTTTTTTTAAAAATTAGAGATCCCTAAAGTTTCTTTGATGAAATACTGTTTCAAATCTTTTTATTTAATCAGCATTGAGAAGTCCAGAGAACATTGTATTGATATAATGTTTTATTGAGTTGTTATACTATACTTAGTCTTAATTTAATGAATTTATTGGCAATTTAAAAATCAAAAAGAGTATGAAGAACTTCTTAATTATAAAAATGATATAACATGTGAAGTATTATAATAAGCAATAATTAGCACAGTTTTTATGTAAAACTGGATGGATTGGAAATAGGTTTTTTTTTTTCCTTTTTTGATATCAATAGTTGATTTTGCTTTAAGTTCAGTTCCTAAAAGTAGGCTTTATTTGCATTAGTCTTTTCAAAGTCATCATACAGGTCTTAACCACTTTATCTTCATCAATTTGTAACAATAGCTGAAGAAAAATGAAAAAATTAAGCATATGTTGCTCTAGATTTTGTTTTATTGGTTAATTTTTTAATATATTTTTTACACTGTAGTTAGTTGAAAGAAAATTCTATATTTCTACCTGTTTCATCCTCATTTATATATACTCTCCCAAACATTTTCCAGCTCTGATCCAGAATTAGGATGATCGTATCAGATTAATTTTCAACTTCATTGTTCTCAGCAAAGTTACCATAGACAGTCCATAAGTTCAGAGATTCATTAATTGTATGTCTTCGATATAGTTATTTTTGTGAGGAGTGATTGTATAGAAGTTTCTCTCTCTCCTTCTACCCCAACCAGCTTCCTAAAATACCCTGTCCTCCTAACATTTCTGTATATAGAGTTCTCTGCTACCAATGATGTTAAATGAACTTCAGTGAAATGACTCTTCAGGAACTGGTACATCAGGCTGCCTCCATTTATTCAGATAAAATAGCTGTGTGTTTTGATGAATGCAATGACCAGTCTCCAATTTATTACACCTACAAGACTCTGCTGAATACCGCCTCAGAATTATCAGATTTTCTGCTATTACACTGTGACTTTCAAGAAATTCGGGAAATTGGTCTCTACTGCCATCCTGGGATAAACTTACCCTCTTGGATTTTAGGGTAATATGTTTTAGAACTAAAATTTTGATATTACTCTAATTTATAATACTTTAATACATAGACTATATTGCAAGTTACTGTTGTTTACTATTGGATTTTTCTATATTGCTTAGTCAATTATAGAGAGGCTAAAAGAGTTCATATTTCCCCTAGAATTATTTTTAATTAATTAAGATGAGCTTATTTAGGAGAGACTAGCTTACAGTAATAGAACATTTAAATATCTCCAAAATAGAAGGCCTGCATTTGTCTGCCAAAGGAAAGCAGTCATAACCTTTGATGTTAGATGAGAGAAATACACCAAGACTGAAGTTTTAGGTGTTCAGATATTCATTAAATAAATGAATAAATAATTGAGAGTTTTTGGATAATGGTTTTGGATAAAAATTGGATAAAGTTTTTGGATAAAAATTGAGGTGTGAATTGAGGAAGATATTAATTAAACAAATATTTGCAAAATGTTCAATCATTTAAGTTGTTTGGAATATTATCCTCATACAGTGATTTCTCTATTAGGGTTCTGTAATAAATAAACGCTGTAAAGAATTAGAGAAGTTGATATTCATCCCATAGTACATCTTTTGGTAGAATAATTACATAAATATAAAGCAAAAAAAGTTAAAAATTTTTTCAAGCATTGACAAAATTTTGAGAATTTGCTATGTGCAAAGATCTAGTGTCTCTAAAGTGTGCCTCAAAGTACTTTAAGTTAAAACAACTTATCCTTGATCTTTATTTAAGTATCGGCACTTACAAATCAATTTAAAGGTTTTTTTTTCCCTTTTAAAGAATACTGTTTTTGGTGAAATATGTCTTTTTAGTATGCAGATTCTATTAATCTGCATACCAATAAGTTATATTTGGATATTAAGCTTATTTTATGTTATCTTACATAGATAAAAAGGACACTGCTTCCTGTTTGGTATCTTAGTAGTAGCCAGTTAACCAAGTGTATAATACTCTAATACATTAGCTTTAAAAAATACTGGATTTCTCTATATGCGATGTGAATTTAATATAGCAAGTACTCAATATATTCAGTCGTAAGAGCCCGATAAAAATGCCTATAAACAAAAATGTGTCAACAGAAACATTGGGAATTCTGATAAAGTCAATAACAAATTACGTAGAAAAATAGAAATGCTTAAAGATTATTTTCAACATACATTCTATACTGACTGTATACTTTGTTCTTTAGAATACTCCAAGTCCCTGCTGCTTATGCTCCTGTTGATCCAGATGCATCACCAGCATTATCAACTCATTTTATGAAAAAATGTGATCTAAAGTATATTCTTGTTGAAAAACGGCAAATTAATGTAAGTATCATATATTTAAATTATTTTTTATGTGTTACATTTCTTTCAGTTGAAGGGTCTTTCCTTCACCCTCCCCTTGATTTCTGAATTTAATAACTCTGCAGGGTTTCTCAGTCTCAGCACAATTGATATTTTGGGTCGGGTAATTGTTGTGAGGAGTGTCCTGTACATTTCACAATGTTTAGTAACATCCCTGGTTTCCACCCACCAGATATCCGACAACCAAAATTGTTTCCAGACATTGCCAAATGTCTCCTGGAATTGCTCTCCAGCCCGCTTCCCCACACTCCATTAAGAGACACTGCTCAATGGTACAAACATGTCTTCTAGCTTTATAATAATATATTGTACACTGTTTTGAATTTCCTTTCTCTTTTCAAAGTTGTTTCTATCCTAGGAAAATTTTGTAATATTTGAAACTTTTATTTCCATATATTTATGGCAATTTACAGTGGGCAAACAACATTAAAGAATTGTAACCAAGCTTAGATTTTGAGAAACAGATTGGCACTCAGACCAAACCATTCTGGAAAATTAAATGTATTACATTTTTAAAATTTTTGACTGCCAACCAAAGATCTAGCCAAGAAATACTGCTTTAGGGCAAGAGTTGCTATTATATGTTCAGCAAGATGCAGCCCATATTTTATTATTATTTCTTTATTTCTTGTTTATAAAATATTTTATCAGAGAAAGGAAGAACATTAAAGAAAGTATATTCAGTTTAGCCAGTTTTACTCATTTCTTATCCAAATTGATATATATTTGGAGGTAACTTAAATGCATTCCACCTATATGTGCATATATATGTCCAGCTTTATCTATATATATGATAATAAGTATCAAAAGCTTATATGGAGAACTTCCTAAAATACCATGGGTATTAGAGCAGGAGTCCCCAAACCCCTGGGCCCCAGACCAGTACTGGTCCATGGCCTGTTAGGAACCAAGCCATACAGCAGAGGTGAGCAGGAGGCAGGCAAGTGGAGCTTTATCTGTATTTACATTCACTCCCTATCACTAGCATCACCTCCTCAGCTCCACCTCATATCATCAGCCATTAGATTCTCATAGGAGCACCGGTGCCTGGTGCCAAAAAGATTGAGGACTGCTGTATTAGAGTAAAGCCTCTAGAAAGAGACAACTAAGGTATTGATTTGGTTAATAAATATTTTCTAAATAAACATATATTACTGTCTGGCCGAAATTTTCTCTTCTGCTCCTCAAATTGGTTATTCCTTTGTTGTTGATGTAAGCAAAGCTATTACAAATATGACAAGGATAGTTGTATATATACAGTCGTCCCTTTTCTTCTGCACGTGCCTTATCTCCATTCCCCTTTGTGACTTTGGATTTTTGAATCCTCCCCTTTTTAGTCATTGTTGTCTCACTTTGTCTATATATATGCTGAATGTTCATTACTATCTTGCTATAGCAGATCTCTTCTTATTTTAAGCTTATAATGCCCTGTTTCTAGTAAGGATTGCACTCCTCTGCTTTTATCAGCCTGCTAGTCAAAAGCAAAACTAAAACAGGGATGTGACATTTATATTTCTTAACAACCTTGGTGACAGTTTTATAAGAGGTGATTGGGTATGAGAATTAAATAACTACTTATAGGAAAGAGTTGGGCACATAGCAAAACCCCATAGAATATACCTTTCTTCCTATTCCATGACTTGGATAATGGTATAAGTGTTCTTCCTTCTTTTAACACAGGAGCAGTGGGGAAGAATTTATTGAGCATCTACTGTATGCCTAGCATCTGCTACAGCAGTGGTTCCCAGTTGGAGATGACTTTGCATCCCAAGAGACATTTGACATATCTGGTGTTATGTCATTATGGTAGTGGGTAGAGGACAAGGAAGCTGTTTAAAAAAAAAAAAAAAAACCTAAAAGACACTAGACAGATCCCCAAAAGGTGTATCTGGTCCAAAATGTCATAGTGTTGACAGTGAGAAACCCTGCACCAGAATCAGATTGTTTGGGAGGGCATTGGTATGTGAAAGAAACCTAAGACTTGATTCTTGCTCTCCAACTGCTTATAATTTAGTTGGAGAAAAAAGATTAATACTCCCAAATCTGTAAAGTTTATATAGTCTGATATTGTCCTAGATGAAGTAAATGTAACCTAGTAGAAATAGGAAAATTTTAATGGCAGAAGATGGTTTTGAGCTGTCTTTAGAAATGTATAGGCCCTTAGTTGTTTTAATATTACAGGCCACATCACACCCTACCCCTAATACATATACAACAAATGGTTGTGACTTTTTCCTCTCATTTATATTGATTTCTTCAATGTGAAAATTTAAGTTATATTTCATTGAGCTGCTTTTTTATCAACCTAATAAGGTAAATTCAAAGGAACCTCACTTTCAGCATATACAAACTGAATTTAGCATCTTTCATCCAAATTTACTTCCATATTAATCTATCTCCATCCACCAAATACCTGACCCAGAAACTCAACAATCTTCTTAGGCTTACTCTATATCCAGAAAGTTACCACGCCCTATTGATTCTTTGCTCATAGATTCTTTCTGTCTACTCTTGTTGCAACAGACTAGTTCAGGTCCATATAGCATATCGGGATTGTTTAACAGAGTTCCTTAAATGGCTCTTGATTTATCAGAGTCTTGATGAAGTAAAATATAGTCTATGCTGTTGCCACCTTCAATTTGATCTCATTGCTTATAGAATAAGGTCTAAACTCAGTGTTGAGTATGCAATGGTGTTAAGGATTACCATCTCATCTATCTCATCTCCTATTAACAGCACTACTTACCTTCTTCCCCTTTCCCAATTCTGCAGCTTGTTGGATGCTTCATGTTCTCCACAACACCAGTTTTCTAGGGTCATATACTCTATTTGGCTGTTCACCTGAACTACCCCCTCTTTATTTGGAGAATGGCTACTTATAACACAAATATTTCATATGAAGAATCAATCTCTGATGTTCCAGGCAGAGTTAAATTCAGCCTCCTCTGTTCCCATTAACATTTTAAGCATGTATCATTATCACACTTAAGACATTGCACGGCAGTTGTATATTTTTATATGTCTGTTTATTTTGAAGGTGACTTTGAAAGTAAGGACAGCATTTACTCTTGGAGGTTTCTACTTTATTTTTTTAACCCCGGATGTATAGCAAGTTCTCAAAAAAAAAAAAAAAAAGCCATGTTGAATGAGTAAATGAATACTTTATATCACTTCTATGTAAAAAAAGAATGTCTTTTAACATATTGGAAACTTTGTTCTCCACATAACAGAAATTCAGATCTTCCTATGAAACATTATTGAACTACGATACATTTACAGTAGAACATAATGACCTAGTACTATTCAGACTTTACTGGAAAAATGTTGAGGTGAGCTTGATGCTAAATGATAGAAAAGAGAAATATGAAAAAGTGACAGACGGCACGAGTTCTGAGAACAGCAAAGAAGAAAAGTCAGAAGAGCACATGGATGTGAGGCTGAAGCATTGTTTGGCCTATGTTCTTCATACATCAGGCACCACAGGGATACCTAAGATTGTCAGAGTCCCTCATGCATGTATAGTGCCAAACATCCAGCATTTTCGGTGAGTTCTGTCCTTAGAGTCCTTCAGAACTTGTAACCCCATGTTGTTCAAGGGTCAACTTTACGAGTGTTATGTGACATAGGGTCCTTCATAAGGAATGAAGACCAAAAAAAGGCAAAACCTGCTTGCTTTTATATTAGGTTGAACAAAGAGAAGCGATTATGGAAAAGTGACTAAACTAAGTGGGGAGGCTAACGAAAGATAATTATTTTACCAAGGTCTATTTGTATAGAATTATCTCAGTCTCAACTTCTAGTCCTTGATGATAAGAATGTTACTTTCCTCCTGTTTATAAGGGAGGACACCTTTCATGTGGGAATTTCAGCTCCTGCTTTTATGAAAAAAAGGGAAGATCATAGTGGTTTTTTTTTTTGCATATGCTGATTTTCAAGTGCCTTTAACTCAAAATAGTCAATATACCAGAGCAGCATATTTCGGGGTAGCATGTTTTGAACTCCATCATTAAAAGGTTAAAGTTAGAGGCTTATATACCTGACTTAGTAGGGGAAGGGAGGGAGAGAAAAGGCTTTTGTGGGAAGAACAGGTAAGTTTCTTTAGGAAAGAAAATGGGAGATAAGAAACTTTATGATGATGTTGGTCTGTGCCATCAGAGTAGTCTTTCCTGCTTTAGGGCCATGAAACTCCCTACAGAGGGGATTTATGGTATGTTTATTCTTGGTCTCCTTCTTGGGAATAAAAGCCACCCCGAAGAGGGAACTTATGGCAGCCTCATTTCCCAGAAGTTTCTGCTGTTAGTCACATAAGGGAAGCTCCAAGAAGCCTTATTTCTGCATCTGTTGAATCCAAAATGTCTTCAGCTTAAAATAATCTTTATACCAACTCTGGAGTTCTGAGTAGGTTCCTACAATACCATAACTAAAGATATTTTGAAGTTAAGGTAATTCTTGCTTTTAAAGTAATCTCTGAAGTTCAGGAGAAGCCAGATAAAAGTGGGTTTTGTGTTCAAATTGAAGCAGCACCATTGGCTCAACACTGACTACCCATGCTTTATAACAAGGGTCCCCAAACCCCCGGGCCATGGACCAGTACCAGTCTGAGGCCTGTTAGGAACTGGGCCGCACAGCAGGAGGTGAACAGTGGGCAAGCAAGCGAAACTTCATCTGTGTTTGCAGCTGCTCTCCAGCACTGGTATCACTGCCTCAGGTCCACCTCAGATCATCAGGCATTAGATTCTCATAGGAGCACTGGTCCCTGGTGCCAAAAAGGTTGGGGATCACTACTCTGTAATACCTAACTACACGTATTCTGCCAAATAGTGGGAAAAGGGAGTCAGAGGTCTCTATTAAGCATCATTGAATAAGTAGGATAGAATAAGTCAAAATTCCTACCAGAAAAGCAGAACCAGAAGGATATATCAGAGATTTATAATAGGGAATTAGCTTATAGTTGTGGGGGCTGGGGAACAACACTGAAGTTTATGGAGTAGAACAATCAGGAATGATCAAGAGCAGGCTGGAACCTCATGGGCATGTGCTTATCCACAGGTAAGTCAGGAAAGAAGATCTGGGGGTGGGTCGAGGGGTGCGCAGGGAGAATAATTGCAGACTCAGCTGCTCTTTTGGAGTCTCTTTTTTCAGAGATGACCTAAACACTCTTTTAAAGGCCTACCAACTGAGTAAATCCAGCAAACCCAGGATAAAGCTTCCCTTTTGATTAAAATCAGCTGATTAGGGACTTTAATCATATCTACAAAATCCCTTTACAGCTGCAGCTAGATTGGTTTTTGATTGAATAACTGGGTGAAAGAGTGGGTGGTGGTACCAGATGGTAGCTGCCTCTCTCTGTCCTCCAGCTCTCAAGAGAGAATATCCTTTGCCTTCTACCCTAACAGGAAATATACTACAAAGGGAATTCTGGGGACTGTAGTTCAATCCAGTCAAGTTGACACAAAGCCATCACAGATGATAAAATATGTCATGATAAAAAGTGGATATTGCTTTAAATGGCTTTTAATCCTTACATTTATAAAGAAAAAGTTTTAGAATTACAATAACACCATTGTGATTAAGAGAATAAAAATCTGGTTTATACTCAAAAAATTATTGTCATAAATACTTTTTTTTAGGATATGTGTTTACCAAATGTTAGACATTTCTCATAACTACATTCTGTTTTGCCTTAGGGTACTTTTTGAGATCACACAAGAAGATGTTGTATTTCTGGCATCACCTCTGACTTTTGATCCCTCAGTTGTGGAAATATTTGTTGCTCTATCAAGTGGTGCTTCTCTGCTTATTGTACCAACCTCTGTCAAAGTGCTCCCATCAAAATTAGCTGCTGTTCTCTTTTCCCATCACAGAGTGACTATTTTGCAGGTACATTTTTGGAGTACATGAAATATTTTGTCCTTCATTATTCACTATTTTAAGTGTTGTAGAGGATATTTTGTATTCCTATAGTTCTTTATAATGGATTAATGATAATCTAGTGAGATTATCAAAGGCTATCTCCTGATGATCTCACTTTGCTATTTGTCTGAGAATGAAAAAAATCAGTTAATTTTGTCTAGAAAATTCTTTTATTGTGTATTTTGTACATACTATAATAACTAGAGGAACTTGACTTTCACTCAGATCTGTTGGGGTATGCTGCCTCTCTTGTCTTAAAGCTTACTGTGTTTCCCACTAGTTTAAGGTAAATTATACTTGAGTTAGAAATTTAGATTTTCTGATTTTTATATCAGCATATTTTACATTAATCTACGGAAACTTTAAGTTCAGCATTTTTAAAGATTTAAAAAATATATATCTGAAAGTGTATCACTAGTACACAAGCCTTAAGATATGAATTGCAAGTAATTAAAGATACTAGAAAGAATTAACAAAATTATATGCATATCATAATAAACTAAAAATATCAGGTTTATATCTAGTATGAGACTCAAGAGGATATTAAATTTCTGCCCCAAAGACAAAATTTGATATTGACTTTATTTTTAGGCAATGTGTTTATTATCTTAAAAAATATCTGTGTGTGTCTGTTTACATATATATGTATGTGTGTTTGTGTGTATGTGTGTGTGCATGTGTGTGTATAGTATATATATGTGAGTATAACTTGCTGGGTATCTGTGGCTATAAATTCTCATCTGTTAGTGAATCCATAGTTTTCAGGAAACATTTGCAAAGTACTTTAATAGATTTGAGTGATAGTTGTCAAAGGAATCAGAAGACTTTCCTTCTATGTCAAGTCAATGAGCTCTGCTTCATTAAGTGTGAGCCCGTTGCTTAATGTTTTAGTACAATCTCAGATAAATTTACTTTAGCAATACTTTTTAACCTTTTGAGGCTCGTAGATCTTTCTGAGAAACATATACATTTACTAGCTCTCTTCCCAGAACACAAATTTTTCGTATAGTTTCCTAGTGATTATATTTAACAATATTCATTTTGAAATATTATCAGATCACATTTGACTTGGTTTGAGTAAGGAAAAGAGGTTTAGAAGCTGACAACCTATCCTTTCCTTACTATAAGGCACAAAATGAATTTTAGCTTTGTAGTCAGGGTTCATCTTTTCCTTCCAAAGTCAAATTTCTTATCAAATGATGTCTCATCAAGAATTTTTGCTTTAATATATATAATTATGTATTTGCCTTAATAATGTATAAAAAAATATAAATGTGTATATTTTAAAAGAGCTCCTTGTACAGATTTTATTTACAAATAACCTTACCCAAACATAATTTGATATTAACTAAGGATCTTAAAAGATCTTAAAACCTCTTAAAGAGAATACATACTACTAAAGTTTTGAAAATCGGGAAAAGATAGAACATGTTGAGTTATTATTGGGGAAAGTCCTCAAAGTGAAATGGACTCAGCTTTTGAGGAAATTAAGGACCTATTTTATTTGTTTCAGGAATAAAGAATTTCTTCTCTTGGAAAGAAAGGCCCAATTTTGGTTTCTTACAAACCTAAAATATGTTTGGGTGTTTTTTGTATATTCTGGGTAACAAAGTTGTATTATTTAAACTTGATACCCTTTAAAAGTGAAACCTTTTAATTAGAGAGGCAAACTGCTAGAACTAGTAAACAAGTATGGCAAGGTTGGAGGATGCGAGATCAGTATACCAAGTCAACTGTATTTCTGTGTAATAGAAAGAAAAACCCAAAAATGAAATTAAGAAAATAAGTGGATTCATAATAATATCAAAAATAATAAAATAGGGATAAATTTAATTAAAGAAGAGCCAGACTTGTATACTGAGAACTATAAAAGAGCTAAATAAATGAAGACATTTCATGTTTATGGATTGGAAATCTCAGTATTGTCAAGATTGCTGTTCTCCCCAAATTAATCTAAAAATCAAACATGGTCCCTATCAAAATCCTAGTAACTTTTTGGGGGATAGAAATTGACAATCTGGTCCTAAATTTTATATGGAAATGCAAAAGCCAGCCCTAATCTATACAGTGGAATACCATTCAGCAATAAAAGTCCTATGGTCTGAGTGAATCCTCCCACCCCAAAATTCCTATGTTAAAACCCTAATGCCCAGTGTAATGGTATTAGGAGATGGGGTCTTTGGGAGTGCTTACGTCATGAGGTGGAGATTAGATGGGATCATGAATGGGATTAATGCCCTTGTAAAAGAGATCCCACGGAGCTCCCTGCCCCTTCCTCCATGTGAGGACACAGTAAGAAGTTGGCAGTCTGTAACCTGGTGGAGGGCTCTCACCAGAACCCGACCATACTGGCACCCGGATCTTGGACTTCTAGCCTGCAAGAACTGTGAGAAATAAATTTTTGTTGTTTATAACCTCTCCAATCTGTGGTATTTTGTTATTGTCCTGAACAGACTAAGACAAAAAGGAATGAACTGTTGATACACACAACATAGAAGAATCACAAGGTATTTATGCTAAGTGAAAGAAGCCACGTCAAAACAGAATACATGTAGTATGGTTATATTTTTTGAAAATTCTAGAAAGTGCCAGCTGATCATTAGTGAAAGAAAGTATATCAGTGGTTGTCTGGAGAAGGGATCCAGTTGAAGGGATGAATTACAATTACATAGGTAATTTTAGGGTTGAAGGGATATGTTTATTATTTGGCTTATGGTGATGGTTTCATTGATATATCAATATGTGTGTCTCAATTTAGATTGTATAATCTTAAATATGTACAATTTATCATATGTCAGTTATACCTCAATAAAACTTTTTAAAAATATTCATATTGTTTTGCTTAGGTACATTTTTTTAACCCTTTTATATACTTTTCTACATAGAGATAATGGGAAAGGAAATGGGAATTGATTTTATAGATATCTATCCTTATCTTTAAACCTTTTTGTCTAAATTATACAATGAAACATAACTAATATTTTTAAGTTTTTTGCCAAAGCAAAATTAATGTCTACATTAAGAAGATAATGCTGCCTCAGTAGTTTTTCAAATATGATTCGCCATAATAAACACAGCTTCAGTTTCCATGTGGGCTCCCAGTGTTAAGCTTTGAATCAGTACAGTGTTTACTTTTTAAAGAAGTGAAGGGAAGAAATAAATTATTTTTATTCTATTCACAGGCAACACCAACATTGCTTAGAAGATTTGGGTCTCAGCTTATCAAGTCAACTGTTTTATCAGCCAGTACTTCTCTTCGAGTGTTAGCCCTTGGTGGTGAGACATTTCCATCACTGACTATTCTCAAAAGCTGGAGAGAACTAGGCAACAGGACTCAAATATTTAATGTTTATGGTATCACAGAGGTTTCCAGTTGGGCGACTTTTTACAGGATTCCAGAGAAGGTTCTCAACTCTACTTTGAAGTAAGGGTTTTAATTTCTAAGTAGGATAGAGTGAAACTATTTTTCCAGTATCTTAACACTAATAATGTTTTTGATAGGCACTGGGGTAATAATTTTAGAAACACTATTTTATTTAGAATTTTCAGTTGGGAATCTAGAACCTTTATTATAACTGGTGCTACACATCCTGCTAGAAATATTTGTAACTAAACAGCAATGAATAACAGATGCTAACCTTTCTATCTAACTTTTTCATTTTGGCAGTCTTTGAATTATAACACAATATAAACTTTTTGTATCTTTATTTGATACAATGTGATTTAAATACATTGGAAAATGTTCTATTCAAATGAAAAATTTTAAATCTGGTTTGGGTTGTTATGTTTTCATGTAGATGTGAATTGCCTGTACAACTGGGATTTCCACTGCATGGAACAGTAGTTGAAGTGAGAGATACTGATGGTTTCACGATTGAAGAAGGCAATGGCCAAGTATTTTTAGGTTGTTTTATATTTATTGATCGAGAATAATTTTTTTTTTCAAGAAAATAATCGATGCTCTAATTTCATTCTTTTTCCAGTTTTTCTTATGTGCAGTATTCTTTTCAGTGATGGTAATTTTTAATCTCATCTTCATTGTCATGAAACATTTAATAAGTTACCACGATTATTTCAGATAACAATGTCTAATATTCTAAGGAAAGATATAAATGTAATTTAGATCTGTTATTTGGATCTTTATATTTATAGCCAAAACTCTACTTAATCAGTGTTCTAAGAATTTTTTAAATCACATTTATATTTTTGGAAATGACTTTTAAATTCTTTTTCTTATTTTACTGGAGGTTATTTTATCTAATTTTATCAGATAATATTTAAAGCTGAGCCTCCCTTTTCTTAAAAATATTAAAAATTTGAAACTAACAAATTTTGGAGATGTTCTTGATTTGTTGATTTTTTAATACGTTTTCCATGGATTTTTTTTTTTTTTATTATTACATTGGTGTTTATATCTTGTGAAGGCGGCAGAAACAGAGTATGTTTTCTTGATGGTGAAATGACAGTACCACTTGGCACAATGAGAGCCACAGGAGACTTTGTGACTGTGAAAAATGGAGAGATGTTTTTCTTAGGACGAAAGGACAGTCAGATCAAACGTCATGGCAAACGTCTTAACATTGATCTTGTGCAACAGGTAGAACTATTTAAATATTAAATATTCAGTGATATATGTACGTATTAGAGGCAGCCACCACTAATTTTCTATGCCAGGGTTCTCTGTCAGTATGATTTAAACCTAAGATTTTTGTATTGGTGATGAATTACAATATAAGGTATGGGTAATTCAGTGTGCCCCTTATTCCCAGCATGAGAAGGGTTTGTTTGGTTTTTTTTTTAAATAAGTGACAAAATGGATTTTGATAACTGTGAAAATTAATTGGTTTATTTTTCTCTAGGGGCTTTTATTTTTGAAAAATGTTAAGAACCCTATGTGCTGGTAATAGTAATAATAGCAAACAATTTTTAAAAAATCTCTAATGTATTTCACAATTTAATTTGACTGTATTGATTTCAGACATAATGAGTTAGAACATTTAGGAAGTTTATTTTTAAATGTCCTAATTGGCAAATTGGGATAATCTCTCTTATAGGTTGCTGAAGGACTTCGGCAAGTGGAGTCTTGTGCAGTTACATGGTATAATCAGGAAAAATTAATTCTGTTCTTGGTGTCCAAAAAGGAGTTAGTAAAGGATTACATCTTTAAAGAACTGGAGAAACATCTTCCAAATTATGCAATCCCGGATGAGCTTGTGTTGATTGATTCTCTACCATTCACATCTCATGGTAAAATAATTTGAAGCAGATATGTTTCAGTGCCAAAAGATACCAATTGTATTCATAAATAGTTTAAAGGATACATAAATCCTTATTATAAGTAATACTGGGGTATATTATGGTAGACTCTGTTAAATGCTTTGTATAATTAACTCATTTTATCTCCAGAAAATCCTATGAGTAGGTAGTAGTATTCCCATTTACAGAAGTAGAAAGTAAGACTTAAAGAGATTAAGAAATTTTTCCACAATCACATTGCTGGTTAGTGGTACAGTTGGAATTCTGTTTGGAACTGTTTGATTTTGCAACATTTGCTCTTAATTACCATATTATATTGCGTTCCCAATTTCATCTTAACATTTATTTCAAAATGCAATAATTGGTTGGTGAAATTTCATCTTAACATTTATTTCAAAATGCAATAATTGGTTGGTGAAATAGTACCATTTCTTTAACTCTTTAAATGAGGTAATCATTAGTTACCCCTTTTTTTTCTTATCTAAGTATTACCCATGAGATTCTTGGTAGCATGAGACCGCTTTCTTTAGAATTGATTATGACAAATTATCCTATAGTATCTAACATTTACACTGAAAAATATATTGTGACTAACAAAATAGAAGGGGTTTGAGCTGAAATTTAAAAATTATTTCTCTTTTATATTAAGGCAAAAT